CAATGTATAATTTAGATAACTGTCAAGTACTGATGACAAATTTTACGAGATAACTCTCCAACTAGCTTTTAAAACCAACGACTCTTTCAAATCTAGACTAACTAATCTAAGAATAGAAAATATCCAACCAACATTTTTTTCAATAACTGGTCTAACTATTAAGCAAAATCTCAACATAAAGACTCATGGATCCGCAGGCAATACAATTATTCACATACTTTCATGCTCGTATACTCTTTTTTTTTTTCTTTTTCTCATTTTTTTCATTTTTTTTTGTTTTTTTGTTTTTTTTTGTTTTTGCTTTTTTGCCCCTTTTTTTTCTCCTACTTGAAAGAAGTGCTTAGTCTTGAACCATTCAAGTCTTTTGACGCGAACTCCGATATCTCTCCAATGAAGGAGCCCGGTTACTCAACTTTAATCGCTTAAAGACCACATACTCATAATTATCGCTGCTTTTTGACGCGAAAATCGACACTTTAGGTAAAGACGCCCGGTTACTAGTCAATGATAACCAGCGGAGTATAGCCGAATATTATTCACAAATAAACACCCAAGTAAAATTCAAACCATGCAAGCCTGCTTCATTTTCCTAACATGGAGAACTAAGATTAATAGTTGAACCAGTTCACACAAAAATGTCAGAAAAATATTTACAATGCCTAGAAAAGTTAACCAAAAGAATTTGCAAGAGTCACAAAATCTCAAATATTTACCAGAGAGACATCCTAAAATTTTACCATATCATACTTAACATATTATCATCTAAAATCGTAACAATAGTTAAATTTGAAAATCTAGCCATTGCTTATCAGGGCTAACCATAAACATCCAAAAGGCATGGTAAAGGTTTGTTTATTTTTTTTTTTTGGTAAGAAGGAAAAGCTAGACTACTCCCCCCACACCTAAAGTCTACATTGTCCTCAATGTAAGAACGAAAAGTTGAAGTCAAGTGAAGGGAGCAAAAAAAAAAAAAATATTCCCTGGATGAATAAAAGCTGCAGCAAAATACCATGATAGATGAGGTGTCAGGGACTGGCAGCGCGGAGCCTCCGACGATGGTATGGTGTAGCGTCGCTTCAGATGGAAGCGGAAGTCTTCAATCCAAGCCTGTGTCCCCAGAGTCTACTAGAGTTGCTGTAAGGCGTGACCACGCCTTATAAGGCAGAGTCTTCTGCCCAAGCATTTCTACGGTGTTCAAGAGCGTCACTTATAAGGCGTGGCCATGCCTTGTAAATCCAAGTCTCCTGCCCAACACCAAAAAAAGCACTTGCAATGAAACAAAATAACCCAAAATCAACGAAAAACGAAAGAGAACTGTAACAAAAAAAATGGAGGCCTTGGATTGCCTCCCAAGAAGCGCCATTTTTTAACGTCTTTGGCTAGACGACTCCACAGTGAGCAATTAGGCATAGATAGGATCTATCAAGTGTACCTCTTCCACAGTGCCAATGTCTGAAACATCAACAAATGGTTTTAAACGATGACCATTAACCGTAAAACTCTTATTAGTCTTTAAACTCTGGATTTCAACCACACCATTGGGAAAAACATTGACTACCACATATGGTCCAATCCAACGGGATTTTAACTTACCTAGCATGAATTTCAACCGTGAATTGAACAAGAGTACCTTTTGTCCAGGGGAAAAGTGTTTCGCACGCAATAGGCGGTCATGAAACTGCTTGGTACGCTCTTTGTACAAACGTGCATTGTCATATGCTTCAAGACGAATTTCCTCCAACTCCTGGAGTTGGAGCTTTCTCTCTTTGCCATCTCTATCCGCATGCAAATTGCATTCCTTGACTGCCCAGAATGCACGATGCTCAATAGCCACAGGTAAATGACACATCTTACCAAATACCAACCTATATGGGGACATTCCAATGGCCGTTTTATACGCCGTTCAATATGCCCACAAAGCATCATCCAATTGCAAGCTCCAATCCTTACGGTTGGGGTTAACCGTTTTCTCCAATATGCTCTTGATCTCTCGATTGGAGACTTCAGCTTGCCCATTGGTCTGAGGATGATATGTTGTACTCACACGATGGTGCACTCCATATTTTCTCATGAGAGCTGCAATGGTGCGATTGCAGAAATGAGTACCTTGATCACTGATGATGGCTCTCGGCACCCCGAACCTGCTAAAAATGTGGGATTTGAGAAATCCTACAACAACTGGAGAATCATTAGTCCGGGTAGCCTTTGCTTCTACCCATTTCGATACATAGTCAACTGCTAACAGAATATACAAAAATCCAAAAGAGCTAGGAAAAGGTCCCATAAAGTCCATACCCCAAACATTAAATATTTCACAAAATAACATAGGTACTTGAGGCATTTCATCCCTATGAGACAATCTTCCAAATTTTTGACATTTTTTACAGCTTTTACAAAATGCATAAGCATCACGAAACAATGTTTCCCAATAAAAGCCACAATCAAGGATTTTTTTAGCAGTTCTCTTAGGTCCAGAATGGCCACCGCATGCATAATTATGACAATGAGCAAGGATAGAAGGAATTTCACTTTCAGGTACACATCTACGAATAATTTGATCAGAGCCTATTTTCCACAAATATGGTTCGTCCCAAATATAGTATAGAGAATCATGGACTATCTTATCCCTCTTACTCTTACTCATGCCAATAGAAAATTTATGACTGATCAAAAAGTTCACAATATCTGCATACCAAGGTTCCTTACCTTTGAGATAGAAAAGATGTTCATCAGGAAATACCTCAGATACGGGAACTGCTTCCTCTTCTCTTATCAACCTACTCAAATGGTCAGTTACTGAATTATCCACCCCTCTCCGATCCTTGATCTCCCAGTCAAATTCTTGCAGCAAGAGCACCCAACGAATGAGTCTTGGCTTGGACTCCTTTTTTGACAGGAGATACTTCAAAGCTGCATGATCAGAGTAAACCGTTACTTTTGACCCCAATAGATATGATCTAAATTTCTCAAAAGCGAAAACAATGGCTAGAAGCTCCTTCTCCGTGGTGGTGTAGTTGCATTGAGCTGGTGTCAATGTTTTTGATGCATAGTATATCACGTGACTACACTTCCCATTCCGCTGTCCAAGCACAGCTCCTACAGCATACTGACTGGTATCACACATGAGCTCAAAGGATAGCTTCCAGTCTGGGAGTTGGATGATTGGTGCCGTGGTCAACATACCCTTGAGTGTGTCAAAGGACAATTTGCAATCATCTCCAAAGTTGAATGGCACCTCCTTTTGAAGCAAGCGAGACAACGGTTGAGCAATTTTTGAAAAATCTTTTTTGAAACGCCTGTAAAAACCTGCATGGCCTAGAAAACTATGAATATTCTTGACATTAGTAGGGTAAGGTAGACTAGTGATCAAATCAATTTTAGCCTTATCTACCTCAATACCCCTTGATGAAACAACATGGCCCAAAACTATGCCTTTCTTAACCATGAAATGACATTTTTCATAATTAAGAACCAAGTTTGTTTCAATGCATCTTTTCAAAACCTTTGTTAAATGGTCTAGGCACTGATCAAAAGAATCACCGTATACTGTAAAATCATCCATGAAAATTTTAATGTAATTATCAATCATATCAGAGAAAATACTCATCATGCATCTTTTGAAATATTCCAGGAGCATTACACAACCTAAAAGGCATACGGCGATATGCAAAAGTTCCAAAAAGGCAGGTAAAAGTGGTTTTATGTTGGTCCTCTTGAGCAACAATAATTTGATAATATCCAGAGTAACCATCTAAAAAGCAAAAGAAACACTTACCTGCCAACCTCTCAAGCATTTCGTCAATAAATGGGAGTGGAAAGTGGTCTTTCCGAGTTGCGGCATTTAACTTCCTAAAGTCAATGCACATTCTTCACCCATTTTGCAATCTCATTGGCACTAACTCGTTCTTTTCATTTTTCACTAATGTGATTCCAGTCTTCTTGGGAACAACATGGACTGGACTTACCCACTGGCTGTCAGAAATAGGAAAAATAATTTCTAATTCTAAGAGCTTGAGAATCTCTTTCATCACCACCTCCTTCATTGCGGGATTGAGTTTGCGTTGATGCTCTCTCATGGGTTTTGCGTCCGACTCCAAAAGGATGTGATGCATACAAATAGATGGATTGATGTATTTGATGTCTGCTAACGTCCATCCAATTGCTGGTTTAAATTCCCGTAAGACCCGTAAGAGCCTCTCTTCTTGCAACGCAGCTAAATCATTGGCAATGATTACAGGCAAAGTCTTGTTATCTCCCAAGTAAGCATATTTCAAATGCTCGGGCAGTTTCTTCAATTCCACATTAGGTGCCTGTTGAACAGAAGGTAGAATTCTTTCATTAGAAGTGGGTAATAGTAGAAAAGAATTTTCAAACCTGCCTGGAAGCGGATGTAGTGAATGTAAGGACATGATAGCTTCTTTGACTTCCTCCTCCTCCATGTCGTCCACTTCCAAATTGGTCTTGCCTTGTTGTAAGACAAAGTCCAACTTGTCCCCCATGAAATTCTGTTCAAAATTCTCTGGCACGATGGTGTTAGTCATGCCAACAAAATTTACAGACTCAGTATCCACAGGATGCTTCATTGTATCAAAAATATTGAAAGTGACCTTCTCTCCATCAAATTTCACAGATAAAGTCCCTTCATGTACATCTATTTTAGTCCTTGCTGTACTCATGAAGGATCTACCCAAAAGAATCACAGATGAATTAGTAGAGTATTCATCATTCATATCAACAATGTAAAAATCCACAGGAAAAATGAATTCATTGACCTTTACTAGAACATCTTCAACTAGGCCCTCAGGGTAGATATTAGACCTATCTGCTAGTTGAATGATTACCCTAGTTTCTTTGAGGGGTTCTAAATTCAAAACTTTAAAAATTGAAAGAGGCATGACATTTATTGAAGCACCTAAGTCAAGCATGCTTTTTTCAATTCTTTGATTGTCAATTATGCATGGTATAGTAAACATACCTGGATCCTTGCATTTCTGGGCCAACTACCTTTGAAAAATCGCTGAGACATTCTCTCCTACCTTCACCTTGTCATCCAGACTCAACTTATTGCGATTAGTGCATAAGCCCTTCAAAAATTTATCATATTTAGGCAATTGCCTAATAGCATCCAACAAAGGAATATTGATCTCCACTTTCCTGAAGGTGTCCAAAATCTCTTTCTCAGATTCTTCCTTTTTAGCTTTTGTAAACCTATCAGGAAAAGAAGGAGGAATGTCAACTTTCTTTGAGACTTCAGAGGATTGTTTCTCTTCTTCCTCTCCCACCTTCCTGGGCACTTCTTCTTCTCTGGCGTGGGCACGCCTAGGAGACTGTACCTCCTTGCCACTCCGTAATTGCATTGCATTGGCATTCTCCTTGGGATTAGGAATTACTTGAGATGGTAACTTCCCTATATTGCTATTTTCCAGGTTGCTCATGAAAGTTGCCAATTGGGACATTTGTGTTTCCAAATTTCTAGTGCTAGCACGAGTCTCTTGTTGAAATCTGTGAGACTCCTGTTGAGATCTTTGAGGCTCTTGCTGTAATTGACTCGTGCTTTGGGCTAGTGACTTCACCATATCTTCAAGTGACATGTTTGAATTGGAAGTGGATGGTTGTTGCACTGGTGGTCGTGGTTGGAAATGTTGTTGAAAACCAGGGGGTTTTGAAGCATAGCTAAAGTTAGGATGATTTCGCCACCCTGAGTTGTAATTGGGTGCAAAAGGATCATTCCTTCGTGGAGGTGATCCAGAAAAATCTCCCACTATGTTGGCTTGTTCAGGTGAATCCTCCTGGAGAGTTGGGCACATGTCAGTCATGTGTCCGGGAGCAGCACAGATACCACAAGTCTTCACAGATTGTAATTGCCCCCTTGCCATTTGACGCACCAGAGAGGTAAGCTCAGACAGTTTACCCTCTAAGTCAGAGTGATTCACTTCATTGACCCTTCTTATTGCTCCATCAGCTCTCACTCCAAATTGTTGAGAATTTTCAGCCATGGTGGAGATCAATAACGTGGCTTCGTCTGTGGTCTTGTTAACCAGAGCACCGCCACTGGCTGCATCTAACATGCTCCTATCCATGGGTGATAATCCCTCGTAGAAATATTGTATTAAAAGCTGGTCAGGGATTTGATGATGCGGGCAGCTGGCACACAGTTGTTTAAAGCGCTAACAGTACTCATATAGAATTTCCCCATTCGCCTGCCTAACTCCACATATTTCTTTCCTTATATTGGCAGCTCTAGAGGCAGGAAAAAATTTCTCGAGGAATCTTCTCTTCAAGTCTTTCCACGTAGTGATGGATCCTGATGGCAAGTAAAATAACCAATCTTTAGCCTTATCTGCCGAAGAGAAAGGGAAGGCTCTCAACTTGATGTGGTCCTCAGTGACTCCTTGAGGTTTCATTGTGGAGCACACCACATGAAATTCTTTCAAGTGTTTATGTGGGTTTTCACCTGCAATACCACGAAAAGTAGGAAGTAAGTGAATAAGACCAGATTTAAGCTCAAATGCCTCTTCCGTGTTAGGAAATGCAATGCATAATGGCTGTTGGTTCACGTTAGGGGTTGCCAACTCCCTCAAAGTCTTTGGGGTTGCCATTGCTATTCGGGGAATATGCACTTCTTCTTCTTCAGATTCACTTGATGAATCACTGGAAACAAACTCTTGCTCAGATTCTGAAGGTGACGTTGAATCTTGTTGCTTACGCAACTTTGCCTCATTGGTCAACCTTCTTGCAGTCTTCTCGATCTCTGGATCAAATTTCAATTCTCCTGTACGAGAAGATCGAGGCATAAAATAAAATAAAAAATAAAAATAAAAACTAAAGCCTGTGCAATAAGTCATTTAAAACACCAGTTCCCCGGCAACGGCGCCAAAATTTGGTGGGTGTCAAACCTCCAAAAATAAAGTTAAAAATAACAGCCTAATTGCCAACCAACACAATTTCAAATTTAATTTGTAAACAGGGCAAGTAGGGTCATCTTCTCAGGGAACTGGTAGGCAAATCAAACAGGAAAATGGGGGAGAAATTTTCAGCAATAGTACCAACTAATTAAAAAGGAATAAAAACTGAAATTCAAAGTTGAGTAAGATAGCAGGAACCAAATTACACAAATAACAATTAATTAAAACAACCTAGTCAAGGAATTAATCTTGGCACCGAAGCACACAACTGATCACAGATACAAGGGACAATTCATATACTCACGAATAAACGGGTTATAGTGGTCAAGCGACGCGCCCAACCACCAATTTATCCTTAATTTTATGGTAGTCAAGAGACGCTCATAAACTACCCTCTTGTGACTAGACAATCCCAGAAACGCTCATAGGATTTAATGTAGCCACAGCATTAGGAATTAGAAAGACTCAATTCTAGATGACAAACACACATGCGGATTTATTTAGGCTAGATTAATTATCCCCACGATCCAAATTAGACCGCTTGCGAGGCAGTGAAATTGTCTCGTTTGTCACTAATCAAGATGCTTAAAGGCGATACGCCAACATCCTAATTGGCTATCAATTATTTAGAAAATCGAATAACAGGCCTAATTATCCAATAAATCTAAACAATAATAACTCAGGGAAAAATAGAGAATAATCAAATACCCATGAACATATAAATTAAAAATAAACAATTAAAACGATCTCACAGTTATGGTGCCCCCATCCTTGATTTATTCCTCAACTAGATAAAAGATTCAGCCTTGCCTTATGTTTGATGCAATTCGAAGCTTCAATCTCGTGTTCATTAATCAAAAGCAAAGTGCCCAAACTCTAAGTCACGTTACAAAGGAAGAAAAGAAAAAAAAACCAACTAGTCTAAGAAACGAGACCCCAGGTCTTAATCTCGCGGGATTCGGCTTTTTTTCTCTTCACTCCGTAGTCAAATGCCAAATTCCTCTCGGAAGCAACCTCCCCCGGTTCCTTATATTCCTCAAGCTTTCAGAATTCTCTACTACTAAAAAGGATTAGCAATTTGACTCCCTCTAAAACTCAGCAGCTTCCCTTTTCTTTAGCCAATCACATTGTTGTATCTTTTTAGAAATATCTTCCCTTATTTTTCTCCATGATTTGTTGCCAAAATATTATCTGAAGATGTCTCCAAATCCAACACAACTTCAAAACACTGCTCCCAAAAATAATGGCAAGCTTCTAGGGATAAGTGTCACGGTCCGTCTTCCAGGATTCACTCTGCGATCTCTGGCGTGGGCACGCCCTGAAATGAATAGTCTTCTGGAAATTCGCCTTTTGTTATCACTTTTAACACCAATTGCCTGTAATTAACATAAATACCAATTATGAGCAGAAATTCAATACTTTGCATAATAAACTGCCAAAATTAAAACCAAATAATCACAAATAAAATGCATAATTATATCCCTATTAGCTAGCTACTTATACGCAAAAATTACTCCAAAAATCAGCAGTTTTTATACTCCAAAATAAAATCCAAGAACCATTTGGATTCAACTTCCAAAATTCTGGCCAAGGGTGCAATCGAGTAAAGAGTTTCTAGGTTTCAAAAATTTTAGCCATTGTTTCTTGTTTTAGCCAAGTTTTGCAATCTGACCAGCAATATAAGTCATGTTTTTTGGTGTCTATCCAGCTTGTAAAATCGTGTCTAAGGGTCCAAAAACAAATCCAAGTCAGTCTAGGTTTTAGTTAGTTATTAGTTTCCTAATTTGAGACACTAGTCAAAGTCCAAAGTTTCCAAATTCTTGAGTCATTCTTGTGCAACAGATCTGGAGTTTTCTAGCTTGTTTTAATACATTTTTGAGGCATTATATCAATCCATTTCACTCTAAAATATTCCAGTCTTAAACTTCCACCATCTAGTGTGAAGCTTGGTGAAAGTTTGGTTGATACTCATTGGGAAATTCTGATTTCTTCAAGAGAGGCAATCAAGTGACTTAAGAAGTGATTTGTGAGATTATTAGAGAGTTTAAAAACACTTGAGTGATACACGAGGGTGAGTGAAACACGTAAGGGAGCGGTGAGGTAAAATTTTTTGTTTTATACTAACCTTTTCTTGCAAGTTTAAACATGACCAATGAAAACGATCTTACTATTGCCCAACTTGAACTAAAAATGGATGTTATGTGGGCAGACCTTTACTTACACATGCTCGAGGGCCAACGTCATTTGATGACTTGCTCATGGTTAGAGATCACAAAATGAACTCTTTTAGAGAGGCTTGTTTACGATTAGGATTGGAATCTGATTCCTATATAGAAGAAACTTTACAGGAAATTGCTCATTTTCAAATGCCCTGTTCATTAAGATCTTTATTTGCCATGCTTCTGTTCTATTGTTCTCCAAGAAATCGTAAATATCTTTGGGAAACGTTCAAAGTGGAACTATCTTCTGATTATGGATGAAGCCGAGCACACACTAATTGTACATTAGCAGACATTAAAAAGAAGGTTTTTCAAGACATTAACAAGACATTGGAACACATGGGAAAAAAACTTGATGACTATCATTTTCTTGAAGGCTACTGCTTTATATGCTCTTACAGTGAGTGGCTGACTAAAGAAATTCAAAGCGAAACAAACATACAGGTTGATCCAGAAAATATGCATCTTCCTTTAAAATTGAATGTTGAACAAAAATATGCATTCGATTTGATTATAAATTCAATCTTTAGCTCAAAAAGTCAGGATTTTTTTAATGATGGCCCAGTTGGTGTGACGACCCCACCTCTCCCTAGGGTTTAGCTAGTCACCTGCCCAACTCTCGCCAGGACTCACTCACTCGTACCTCAAGAAATTAACTTACATCCATAGAACAATAAATAATAGCACAATTCAAACTTATAATATACATTGATGCTCAACTCAAAATACAAAGCTCCTTCACACTAACATAACAATTCAAGTACAAATCACCCTAGTAGAGTGATAGCGCGAGTACAATTCAAAATTCAAAACATCTGGACTACGCTAGTTTGTAGATGTCTCACGCCTCGCTCGTACCCCCTGTAAGAAAAATAAAACTAATAGAGTAAGTTAAAACTCAGTGATGTTCCAAATATCAAATTGACCAACAAATAACGTAAAAGTAGCACAATAGTGAAATAGCGAGCAAAACAAGTTAAGAAATGAGTAATATCACTTCATATAGCCAAACAATAAATTTTTCGCATTTCACATATAAGGATATAGTTGCTCATATATCGGCTCCGTCATAGCTGGATCGATTGGTAGTTGACACTCCGTCAACTTTCAAGTAAGGTAACTAGTCCAGTAGAACACCACTTAACTCCAATCTCCGTCCACCGATCAAACCTCTTACCGGGCCCGAACTCCAAGATAAACACTAGTGATAATACTCGAGTATACCGATTAGTCGAGGAGATAACACTCCACTCGATATCACTAACTATCCAGGGTTCATTATCTAATCGACCAGGCCCTTGCCGGGTCGACTCGACTAACTAGCCACAGGATTTTTGGAATTCCAAACAAGATATATTTCATGTGCATTTATATCAATTCAACTGAAATCAATGGCCAAAAACGAATCACATTAGGGTAAGTGCGATAAAGTACACGCTTGCCTTAACAATCTACTCATATATCAGGTAATCACATTGTTCAAGTATTAAACACAAGTATCAAGTGCAATCAGGTATTTAAAAGCATTCACCAAAAATATAGTGCCTCTATGGGTCACGTTTGGGTATTACTCTGGGTTTGGAGTCCAAATCTGCGAGAAAATATCGTTTAAGAGTTTTGAAAATCGACTAAGGTTTGAAACTTAGACGTTTCATTTAATAAGAGTCAAGTAATTGAAATTCATTTGGAGAATATTCGTAAAACTCTTGCTCGCTATTCAAACTGTGAAACTTGGTAGTGATTATACGGTGAAATATCATTTGAGTCGAAGAAACGAAGAAAACGTATTTCTATTAGTTGTAATTGTAACTTTTATTTGTTTCCAAGGGTACAAGTTTTGGCCGAATTCTAACTTATATACCTCTATAAAAGAAGACGCAAATATCCTAGATGGTTCAAGTGGTATTCGCCCTCAAATCCTTACCTAGTCCTCGAGTGCAAATTTGGGCAGCACGC